GGGGAACAAACAATGCTTTAGAGACGTACCTGCCACGAGCTGGTCCAGCTGTCCACGGGAGACGAGCAGGCAGAGTCGCGGCGAGGTCCGGCCGCCGGCCGAGCAGAGAACTGCAACAGACTGTCATGCGAGACCCAACACATAATCAAATACGCTGCGACTTCATCCCACACCACACCAACTAACCGTCTTTTCCTCGGCTGGAGCCAGCAGCAGTGCAGGGCGAGCATCAGCCTGCTGTCCGCTCCAGTGAGCGAGTACATATCCTGCGAACAAAACCACCATGAGAGGGGAAACAATCCGAAAGTCAAACGGCAAAGCAGGAAAATGGGGCTGATTACCGGCAAGCCAATGCGTCTTCAACATCTTCAATTTTGTTTACTCTCTTCTCTCTTCCAAAGACGATGAGCTTGACAACAACCACGCTCGCGCCGCTCGCGACTTGTAGTCTCGTTCCGTTTTACGCCGCGACTGTCGTACCGGTCGTGTGTTGTGAGTGTGTTGTGAATGTGTGAAGGACTCTAGGTGGGAATGGGAACCTAACCCCTGAACCCTAGACCCCAGCAGCCAAAGGCCCTATCTGACGCTATAACCTCTGATGACGCTGGTTACCGTGAGATGCCGCTGGCTAAAACTGCGGAACGGCACAGCGGGTCCCGCGGCGGTAGAGTGACTCGCCCACACCTCATCGCAGCCGGCTCCAGACGTCCACGGCGACCCGGCTTCCACTGTTAAAAAATACAACAGTAAATCACATAATCACAACAGAATGGCTTGGGAGTGTTTCTAACAGTGGGATCCTGTGCGCTGGACTATACCTTATGCAGAGGAAAGCGCGGCCAAGTCTTGGTCCCTCAACAGTCGAACACAAGCAGGATGATCTGTTGTTTCTCGACGCAGAACGCTTGACCGTGCCGGCTGGAAGGGCTCGTGCACTCCAGCCGGGGACCGCATGGCGCATGGCAGCACGCGCTGAGAACGGCGACGCACAACACTGGAAAACTACACCAGTAAATCACTACGGAATGGTCTGGTAACTTAGTGTGATCATGAAGGCTGGGATTGTACATACCTTGTACACTGGAGAGTTCTTTTCGAGCACGGTCTAGTCGCGGAGGATCGCGGAGGTGAATAGGGCAGCTGAGCGGCTCACTGACACTGACCACGGCTGGGCTGGGCTGCGCTCGTACAGTCGGCGCAGCATTACTTCAGTCTTCGGGTTTTGGTCACGTGACAGCCGAATAGCTTCGTAGCCAATCGGAAGCGATTCGGCCCTGCCGGCCGTTTGAGGAAGGAGGGGCGGGAGGACGACACAGTACGACCGGGAAACCAAAGAGATACGTCTTCACACGTTTATTTTGCTACTGCCACCAAGATCTGCAATGTCGGTGGCTCCACTCCACTCCAGGCAGCTCGATAAATCTAGTTTCTATTCCGGCATTTCCAGGAAAATGGTAAAAAATGTCCGTGGGTAAAAGGAACCCCACAAAAAGTTTTGTCATCTTTTGAGATGTTGTTCTCAGCACTTCAAAACGCACAAATAGGTAGATGTTGTGTAAACAAAAAAAAAAAAAAAAAATTCTCCGTACTTAATTTTTAGACAGTCCCTATAAGACTGTCTCTACCTGAAGGAGAAAATGTGCCCCCCCCCCCTCGCTTCTCCTGTACTGGGTGTCCACCTACACACACTCGAACCCCAGCGCGGGTTGCCGACTGGTCGAGCTTCTCGTACAGTGCGTATAATTCAAACGGGTGTAGTTAGATTGTCCGGCCTACTTTTCTCCGACCAGGTAATTTTCCCCAAATCCCCAAAAGTGCTGTCCCACCTCGGTTTTGTCCTACTTATCTTTCTCCGACCTCGTCGATATGCTGAAATTGGGGAAGAATGTGCTTCAAAGAGGAACAGGCTTCAAAAGTAAAAAATAAAAATGGAGGAGTACTTTCCTCATCCCACCGCAGTAGTTAGCGAACTGT